AATACAAAACAAAATTTACAATCTTATCCAGTTTTAAATGTACAGTTCAGTAGTATTAGGTACATTCATATCGTTCTGTAACCATCATCACCATCCATCTCCAAAACTCTTTTTATCTTGCAAAACTGGAACTCTATAGCAATTACACAAGAACTCCCCATCTCCTCTCCTACAGCCCATGGCAACCACCATTCTACTTCTGTCTGTATGATTTTGACTATTCTAAGTACCTCATATACCTCATGGAATCATATAGTACTTGCCTTTTTGGATTGGCTTATTTTACTAATCATGCCTTCAAGGTTCATTCATGTTGTAGTATATGTCAGAATTTCCTTCCTTTTTGGGCCGGCCTGTGGCTCACTCGGGAGAGTGCGGTGCTGATAACACCAAGGCCCCGGGTTTGGATCCCACATAGGGATGGCCGGTTCGCTCACTGGGTGAGTGTGGTGCTGACAACACCAAGCCAAGGGTTAAGATCCCCTTACCGGTCATCTTTTTAAAAAAAAAAAAAAGAATTTCCTTCCTTTTTAAGGTTGAATAATATTCTATCATATATATACACCACATTTTGCATATCCATTCATCCATCCATGAACACTTGGGGTGCTTCCATGCTTTAGCTATTATGAATAATGCTGCTATGAACAGGGATGTACAAATATCTCTTTGAGACTCTGCTTTCTATTATCTTGAGTATAGACCCAGAAGTGGAATTGCTGGATCATATGGTAATTCTATTTTAATTTTTTGAGGAACCAACGTATTATTTTTCACAGCACTAGTACCATTGTATATTCCTATCGACAGTACACAAGAGTTCCAAATTCTCCACTCCTCACCAGATTCGTTTTCTCTGTGCATTTTTTATAGTAGCTATCCTAATGGGTGTGAGGTAGTATCTCATTGTAGTCTTGATTAGCATTTCCCTAATGGTTAGTGATGTTGAGCATCTTTTCTTGTGCTTATTTGCCATTTGCTTATCTTTGGAGAAATGTCTATTCAAGTCATTTGCCCATTTATAAATTGAATTTTTGTGTGTGTGGTTGTTTTAGGAGTTCTCTTTATATTCTGGATATTAATCCCTTGTCTGATGTATGATTTGCAAGTATTTTCTGCCATTCAGTGAGTTGCCCTTTTACTCTAATAGTGCTTTTTTTTTTTTCCTTTTTGTCTTTTTTACTGACCGGTAACAGGATCGCAACCCTCGGTGTCGCACCCGCACCACGCTCAGCCAGTGAGCGGGAACCGGTCTCCACATGGGATCTGAACCCTCGGCGGGAGCGCCGCCGCACTCCAAAGCGGTGCACTCTCCAGTGCGCCACTGGGCCGGCCCTCTAATAGTGCTTTTTGATGTACAAAATTTTTACATTTTTTATGAAGTCAAATCTATTTTTTGTTGTTGTTGTTGTTGCCTTGCCTTTGGCATCAGTAATAGGTTTTTTAAAAAGGCCTTCATTAGGAACAAGTCCCCTGCTAATCCTAGTTTGCTGTTTTGTTTTGGTTTTCTTTATCACGAATGAATGCATAATTGTCAAAATTTTTTTTTCTATTACTGTTGAGATAATCATATTGTCTTTCTCCTCTGTTCTGTTCACATGAGGCATTACATTTTCATGTTATACCACACTTGCATTCCTGGGATAAAGTCCATTTAGTCATGACATATTACCCTTTTTATGTATTTCTGGATTCTGTTTGTTAATATTTTGGTAAGGACTTTTGCATCTGTGCTCATATTTTAAATACGTACTATAGTTTTCTTTTTTTTAAATTTTTTTTTGGCGGCTGGTCAGTACAGGGAGCTGAACTCTTGACCTTGGTTTTATAACACCATGCTCTAACCAACTGAGCTAACCAGCCAGCCCTCTTTTCTTACAATGTTGTTGTCTGGTTTTGGCATCAGGGTAATGCTGGCTTTACAAAGTAAATTAGAAAATGACCCCTTTTTTATTTCCTGGAAGGACTGGTATTATTTCTTATCTGTTTGATAGAAATCTACAAGTGAAGCTATCTGGGTAGTTTTCTTTGTGGGAAGGGCCTAAATTATGAATTCAATTTCTTTAATTGATTTAGGGCTATTCAGATTTTCTATTTCTTCTTAAATTTGTTTTAGTAATTTGTGGTTTTCAGTGAATTTGTCCATTTCGATTAAACTGTTCAATTTGTGGGCATGAAATTGTTCATAGTATTTCCTTAATATCCCTTTAATATAGGTAGGCTTTGTAATGTTATCTTCTCTTTCATTCTTGATATTGGCAATTTGTGTCTTTTTTTTTTCTTCTTTTTTAAAAATCTTGGTCTGGTTATAGGTTTAGCAATTTTATTGAACCTTCCATAGAACCAGCTTTTGGTTTTAATAATTTTCTGTTTACTTTTAATTTTATTGATTTCCATCCTTACCATTATTCTTTCCATCCTTCTACTTACCCCAAGTTTAATTTGCTTTTATTTTTTTCCAGTTAAGGTAGAAGCTTAGATCACTGGTTATGGATCTTTCTTATTATATAAGCATTTCAAGCTATACATTCCCCTTTCTGCATATCTTTAGCTGTTTTTTACTGCAACCAACAGTAAAAGCATATATTCCCCAGACATACAACTTAGAAAAAAGAAAGCTTCATAAAATAATACTTCTTCCCTTTACTGTGTGTAATGCACTCTGATATTTTCTATTCTCTTCCATTGTTCAAGAAACACTATTTATGACTTACTATTTTTTTATTTTGGATGGTTTTTTTTGGAGGCTGGTGGAACAAGGAACCGAACCCTTGACCTAGATGTTATCAGGCCATGCTCTAACCATGTGGGCTAACCAGCCAGCCCCATGACTTACTAACTTAAAGTGTAGCCTAGACATTGTTTTTGGTAATAACATGTTATTTTAAGATCAGCTGTTGATTACAATTTGATGCCTCTTCCTATAGGATTTGATGCCAAATCCTATGAGTATGTGGAATAGAACATATTAAACTTTGTCTTAACACCAAGGTCAAGGGTTTGGGTCCCCATACCATCCAGCTGTCAAAACCAAAAATAAAAAAGATAAACTTTGTCTGAGGGTGAACCTAGCAATTTAGCTAATAAAGTCTTGTTGTATGTAACAACAAATACTGCAATGAAACCCAAAAGGCTCATTTTGTCTTAGGGGTCAAAGTACTTGTTAAACACATTGTCCAGTAGAACTTCCTGAAATGATGGCAATGTTCTAAATCTCTGCTATTCATTACAGTAGCCAGTAACCACATGGGATGGGACTATTGAGTACCGGAAATGTGGCAAGTGCAACTGAAGAATGGAATTTTTTTTTTTTTGCTTTTATTATTATTTTTAATCGACACAATAATTGTATATATTTATGAGGTACAATGTGATTTTCCATACATGCATACAATATGTAATGATCAAATCAGGGTAATTATCATATCCATCTGGAATTTTAGTTAACTTAATTTTAAATTTAAATAGTACAAATGGCTAGTGGCTACCATATTGAGCAGTGCACCAAAGGCCCCAAACAGTTCTGTGTTTTTCATAGGCATAGTCACAAAAGCTACATAATGAGAGAAAAATTGGCTGGCCGATTAGCTCAGCTGGTTAAAGCGTGGTGCTGATAACACCAAAGTCAAAGATTCAGATTCCCATACCAGCCAGCCACCAAAAAAACAAAACAACATGAAAGAAAAATCCTTTTTTTAATATGAAGACTACTACATTTTACTTTGTAGCATGCATGAGATGTACAGATGTTGTGAGTAGTAATTTAATGGTTCTATAAGAAACTAAATCAATTCCAGGAATTTTACAGGAATTCACACACCCTTTGCAGACTAAACCTAGATTAACTACATTCTTGGCTCAACCTGAAGACACATTCACCAAGAACTGGTTCACATCTTGGCCCCATGTGACTTTTTAAACTAAGGACAAGGTGAGACAAAGCAACTTTGGGGCCGAGTCAACTGGTCTTGAGCCTTTAATCTTAAACAGACTATCTGGGCTCTGGAGTTTGGAAGGGCACAGCAATTCTTTCAGTGGCCCTCATAACAGAATTGGCTGGTGCAGATGCTCCTAGTCTTCGACCTGCCCTAAGTTTCCCCTATATGCAAGCAGTAGAGTCAAATTACATCTCATAACAGAGTCAAATTACAAATTTCTAACCTGAACTCTAGACCTAGGAATCTAGACATATTCCAAATTCTTCCTAGCCTGACCCAATTAACAAAAGTGAGAAGTAACCTAATGTCAAAACAGATTTATTGGTTATTTTCCACAAAAGAATGGGAGCAATCTGCAAGCATTCAATATTAAAAAGGCTCAGGACAAGCTGCCTTCCATTTGCCTTAAGAAAGGCAAATAGAATGGAGTCAAAGTTCACATTTACATAACAGACATACTAAAAAGCTCAGTGCCCCTGCTTTGTTAGGAAAATGGATAATACCTTCTAAAAGTAAATGGAATAAAAAGAAATTAAAACTCAGATATTGATTCCTATAATAATGTTAACTATTATTTGTCTATGACATAAAATAGACAAAACATTAAAAATTCAGAAATAAAGTTAATATTTTAGAAAGGAAAAAAGTACTGGTAAAGTTGTCAGGCACAAAGTTTTCAAGACTAAGAGTTTTACTGACTTGCTTCAAACCAATCTAAAAGCCAAAAAAAAAAATTTTTAAATTATAGATTCTTCTTGATACGAAGCCCAAGATTTCTCCCTTCTTTAAATCCCCTAACCCAAATTATTATTTATTTTTTTCTTTTTTTAAAAAGATGACCAGTAAGGGGATCTTAACCCTTGACTTGGTGTTGTCAGCACTGCGCTCACCCAGTGAGTGAACCGGCCATCCCTATATGGGATCCGAACCCATGGCCTTGGTGTTATCAGCACCACACTCCCGAGTGAGCCACAGGCTGGCCCTCTAACCCAAATTATGAGAAACCATTCATTCTGGCCACTGAGAACATTTCTGCATATAGACATAATCAAAAAGTTTACTTCTTTCATTATTTAACTTGTTCATTCCCATCCTAATCCAAATACCAGGAATGTAGGAGTAAGCATGAGGATGTAACTGCCCCCAAAGCCCATGAGTGAGGCATAACTAAACTAACAACATGAGAAACTTAGGCACTGAGGGAGGCCCTGATGGCAAGGGAAATGAGCCACCTTTATGACCTTAAAAACAAACTGCATATCACTAAGGCAGATTTAGAGGATTTATCCAGGAATCAGTCTTCTCCAAGGCTGGACAGGGAGGGAGTGTGGAAAGCACAGCTTTTCTTAAAGGATGAAAGGCGTCACTTGGGGACACTCTTGTTTCCTGAGGAAGAGAAAGAGACACTGAAACATCTTGTTTTGTGCGTTTTAAATCTTCCTTGTTTTTCACCATCAATAACTGTTCTATCTCTTCTTTCAAAGATAAACTTGCCTGAAACTCATGTTTGTGTATCATAAAGTCTTCTTTTTGAGTTATTCTCTGGTCCTCTGACCCCTTTGATTCAGGGCAAATGAGTTTGTTACTGGAATCTTCACTGGCTTCTTCCTTAATGGGAGGTAGATGTTGAGATTTTGTTGTAGTTTGTTTATTCTTAGATTCTCCTTTCAGAAAATTCACATCCTCATGAAATTCATGGGATATAAAACTTGGAGCTTTATCTACCCCAGAATTTTTACAAGGTAAGAAACCTCTGACTTTTTCCTCTTTCCCTGCTGTCTCCATGACTAATCTCTTTGGATGTAGCGCTGTCCTTATTAGGAGTCCCTGTGCATTCATTCTATATTCTTTTGTAGCTCTCTCTCTGCGCTGCTTCTGGAAGTCCTTGATTTGAAGCAGTTCCTCTGGCAGCTCCATACATGTAGGCTAAGAAAAGAAAAGGAAAGGAAAGGAAAGGAAAGAAAGAAAGAGTCAAGTTTATTAGAACTAAACTTCTGAATGTGGTACTTAAAATCACTTCTATTACACCTAATGGTAATACTCAATCTAGGGTCTATTCAAGTGCGTTCATATAGCACCCTCTAGTGTCTTCAACTACAGTAATACTATTTTTTGAGTAATTTAAGTATTTTGATTCATAATATGGAAATATTATGAATACACAGCTTTGTGTGTCTGTGTATGTGTGCATGTATGTGTAAAGATTATTCAGGAGAGCTGACTGGTTAGCTCACATGGGAAAGTGTGGTGCTGATAAAACAAGGTCAAGGATTTAGATCCCTATTAAAAAAAAAAAAGATAATACAGGAAAAGTAGGTCTCCCTTCTAACCTGGCCCCACTTGCCTTAGCAGGTGCATCCTCTAAAAAGCAGTTTCTTGTATAACCCTCCAGAGATAGTCTATGCACATATGAGGGTACTTTAAAAAGTTCATGGAAAGATTTGTATTATCTTTTAATTCTATTTTTCCACAAACTTTTGATGTATATCATCATATGTATATCATATATAAATATACATACATACATATATCCATTACTAAATGTTTATATTTTTATTGGATTACATTTTTAATTTTTATATTTCCCCAACTTTTTATTTTGATAACTCTTTCTAAAATCATTTTACACACATGGTAACATACTATTATATATATTCTTCTGCATCTTGATTTTTTTTTAACTAAAAATTTTGCCTTGGAGATTTTTCCATATTGGCATTTCTTTTCTTTTCTTTTCTTTTTCCTGACCAGTAAAGGGATCGCAACCCTTTGCACGGTGTGGTCCGCACCACACTCAGCCACTGAGCACACCGGCCATCCCTATATAGGATCCGAACCCACGGCCATGGTGCTCCCAGCGCTGCACTCTCGAGAGAGAGCCACGGGGTCGGCCCCCATATTGGCATTTCTAAGGACAGTATTTATATACCATAACTGATTTAACCAAACAAATTCCTTTTGATGGATATGTATATTTAGGTTGTTTCCAGTCTTTTATTATTACATAAATGCTACAATAAAGAATATATACATATGTGTGTGTGTATATATATATTTTTTTTCTTTTTTTTTTTTGGCAGCTGGCCAGTACAATAAAGAACATGTTAAGAAAATGTTCTCTTTGTTACATGAGGCAAATAATTTTTCCCAGTTTGCTTGCCTTTTGACTTTGTTCATCGTATTTTTGACATGCAAAATATTTTAAGTGCAATTTATTAATATTTTATGGGCTCTGAGTATTTTTGTGTTGCACAGAAAAGCCTTCCCTACTGTGCATTTTTTTTCTTTTCTTTCTTTTTTTTTCTTGGTGGCTGGCCAGTGCAGGGATCTGAAACTTTGACTTCAGTGTTATAACACCACATTCTAACCAACTGAGATAACAGCAAGCCCAGAGAGATTTTTTTAATTTTGTTTTTTTCTAATAATTTACAATTTCTATTTTTTATATAAATACTTGACCCATGGAGTTCTTTTTGATGTTATGAAAAATGATAGCAATCCAACTCTGATTCTCCTACCCCTCAATGGTTAATCAATTGCCTAAGATCATTTATGGAATAAGTATCTTTTCCCACTGATTGTAAATGCTACCTTTCTCACAACCATATTGGCAGATATACATTAAGTCTATTTCGGGGTTCTCTACTCTGTTCCACTGATCTGCCTATTTATGCACCAGTTGCAAACTTTTTTATTTAGTGTAGCCTTATGTTGTTTTATGTTTTGTTTTGTTTTTTTGTCCTTTTTTTTTGAGACCGGCCACACCGCGCTCAGCCAGTGAGCGCTGTGAGCGCACTGGTCATCCCTATATAGGATCCGAACCTGTGGCGGGAGCGCTACCGCGCTCCCAGCGCCGCACCCTCCCGAGTGCGCCACGGGCTTGGCCCGTTTTATGTTTTTTTTTGGGGGGGGGGGCTGGCTGGTATGGAGATCAGAGCCCTTGACCTTGGTATATAATACATTTTAATACCTGACAGAACTAGTCTTCCTTTAATATACTTCTTTTCCCAAAATTCTGACTATTTTTGCATGTTTATTTGTCTCTATAAAAAGTTTGCCAAACGGACCAGCCCGGTGGCGCACTGGAGAGTGCGCTGCTTGGGAGTGCGGTGGCGCTCCCGCCAAGGGTTCGGATCCCATGTGGAGACCGGTTCCCGCTCAGTGGCGGAGCGCGGTGCGGGCGCAGCACCGAGGGTTGCGATCCCGTTGCCGGTCCCCAGTACGGGCGTGACACCAAGGGCTGCAATCCTGTTCCAGTCAGTAAAAAAGACAAAAAGGAAAAAAATAAATAAATAAATAAATAAAAAGTTTGCCAAAATAATCTGGGTGTTAATATTTTTATTGGATTAGAGTTAAATTCAAAGGTTAATTTAGGAATAATTCATGGTTAAAAATACTTAGTGTTCTCATTCACTTATTTAAGTCTTCTTTTACACCATTCAGTAATATTAAAAGGTTTTCTTCATCTATATACTGTATTCCATGTTTCTTGTTAGATTTATTTCTAGGTAACCTATTTTTTCTTTCTCTCACTTTTTTTTTTTTTAAAGATGACCGGTAAGGGGATCTCAACCCTTGGCTTGGTGTTGTCAGCACCACGCTCAGCCAGTGAGCAAACCGGTCATCCCTATATAGGATCTGAACCCGTGGCCTTGGTGTTATCAGCACTGCACTCTACTGAGTGAGCCACGGGCTGGCCTTTTTTTTTTTTTTTTTTTGCACGTTTGTCACTTGAGATTCTCTTTATGTTTTTGTTATGAGGCACTATGTTTGTTTATGGATGGTTTTTTTTTTAGAGGCTGGCTGGTACGGGAATCAAACCCTTGACTTTGGTACTATAACACCGAATTCTAACCAACTGAGCTAACTGGCCAGCCCCTCTCCTATCTTTTCTGATACATTTATAAATGGGATTCTTTCTCTCATTATGTCTTCTAGCTGTTTATATAGATTTATAAAAGCTATTAATATTTGTTATATTTCGGGCCGGCCCGGTGGCGCACTGCGCTAGTGCGCCGCTTGGGAAGCGTGGAGGCGCTCCCGCCGAGGGTTCGGATCCCACATACAGACCGGTTCCCGCTCACTGGCTGAGCGAGGCGCGGGGGCAGCACCGAGGGTTGCGATCCCGTTGCTGGTCCCGGCCCGGTACGGGGGCGACACTGAGGGTTGCGATCCATTGCCGGACACGGAAAAAGACAAAAAATATATATATATATTTGTTATATTTGTACTCACTTTACTAAATTGTCTTTTTTAGTTGATTCTCTTTAGTTTTCAGTTGTACAACTGGCAAGGCATAATTGTGATTCCTCTTTTCCAATTAAAAAACGTTTTCTTTAATTTTTAATTTTTTTTCCCAGTAATACTTTGCTCATGGAACCTGTTTGAATTTTTATGGCTCATATCTTTCTTTTTCTGATTTCATTGGCTAGTAGCTTCAAAAAATGTCAAAGTAGTAGTGATAGTCACCATTTTTGTATCCTGAAATAAAGGAAATATTCCTACTGTTCTCAAACATTATGTAGTCTTCTCTCCTGAGATAAGAGGGAGGCTGATTGGTTAGCTCAGTTGGTTAGAGTGTGGTGCTGATAACACCAAGTTCCAGGGTTTGATACCTGTACCAGCCAGCTGCCACCTGCAAAAACAGAGACATGAAGATACTTCAAAAAGTTCATGGAAAAACAGAATTGAAAGATAATACCAATCTTTCCATGAACTTTTTGAAGTACTATATGTTTTATTATGTTAGAAAAGTATCCATATATTCCACCTTTAATCTGTAATGCATGTAGAATATTATTAAAATTTTTTCAGCATTTACGAGATAATCATAAGACTTTCTTGGCCCTACTAAAGTGGAGAATTTCCTAGCATTAAACCATGCTTGCAAGCAGAATCCAGTGATGCATTAAAAAAATATATAGGGCTGGCTGATTAGCTCAGTTGGTTAAAGCACAGCCTTGTAACACTAAGGTTACAGATTCAGATCCTCATACTGGACGCCAAAAACAAAAACAAATAAAACATACGTATACATAAACACATCTAAGTAGGTCTCATACCAAGAATGCTAGAATTTTATTAGGATTTTAAATCAATAATCAAAAATGCGAATAGTTTAATAGCAATAACTGGCAAACTTCTACTGTAAAGGACGAAATAGCAAATATTTTAGGCTTTGTGAGCCACAAATGAACTCTGTTGCATATACCACTATTTTTTTTTTTTTTTTACAAACCTTTAAAAATGTAAAACCTATTCTTAGCTCATGGGCTGTACAAAAATAGGCCATGGGCCAGACTTGACCTGTAGGCAATAGTTTGCCAACTCACAGCTTATAGTTTTCTTATATTACTCGAGCTAACCGGCCATCCCTATATGGGAGCCGAACCCGCGGCCTTGGTGTTATCAGCCCCGCACTCTCCCGAGTGAGCCACGGGCCGGCCCCTATTTTTTTTTTTTTTTACAAACCTTTAAAAATGTAAAACCTATTCTTAGCTCATGGGCTGTACAAAAATAGGCCATGGGCCAGACTTGACCTGTAGGCAATAGTTTGCCAACTCACAGCTTATAGTTTTCTTATATTACTCGAGCTAACCGGCCATCCCTATATGGGAGCCGAACCCGCGGCCTTGGTGTTATCAGCCCCGCACTCTCCCGAGTGAGCCACGGGCCGGCCCCTATTTTTTTTTTTTTTTTTTTTTACAAACCTTTAAAAATGTAAAACCTATTCTTAGCTCATGGGCTGTACAAAAATAGGCCATGAGCCAGACTTGACCTGTAGGCAATAGTTTGCCAACTCACAGCTTATAGTTTTCTTATATTACTCTGGCTGCATAAAAGTAACTAATGAGATGTTAAATTTACCCATTCTTTTTTTTTTTTTTTTTTTAAAGATGACCGGTAAGGGGATCTTAACCCTTGACTTGGTGTTGTCAGCACCACGCTCACCCAGTGAGCTAACCGGCCATCCCTATATGGGATCCGAACCCGTGGCCTTGGTGTTATTAGCACCGCACTCTACTGAGTGAGCCACGGGCCGGCCCCTAAATTTACCCATTCTTTGATGGAAATATTTCTTGGAAACATTACTTAATATTGTGAAAAGGTGCTCAACCTTGATCCTGAAGCCCCTCCAAGAACATTTATCACCAAGTCTGCCCCATGAAAGTTGTCGCAGCTGCGAAGAATGGGTATCAATGTGCCCTGCATAAGGAAGAAGGCATAAATGAAGGTCCTGAAGATACACTCACAGAGAGTTGCACCTACCTCAGTGCTTCCAAGCCTGTCTGCAGACCCTTCTCGATAGGTATTTAGGTACCCATCCACCAGGGTAGTTAGGTCAGACATCATCTCATCCAGTAGTACCAAGCGAAGGGGTAACAGGTAGGTAGCTTCTAGGGCCAAAATTTTCAGTAAAGAGGGTAAAAGAGGTCGTGTGAACCACACTTCTGGATTTTCCTAGAGACAGAAAAAAAATTTTCTCTCAACAGTAAGCAAAACTTTAAAGAAAATAGCTGTTTAAATGTTGCTTAATTTAAAACCCTGTCATTTTCTTCTATTATTATCTACTTTCATACTTTTGCTAGCCTTCTGAGCACACATACATATTCCCACATGCCCCTACATACAAGTATTTAGTGTGTGTGTAATAGAGAAAGAGGGGGTGGGGGGAGAAGTAGGTCAGTCGATCAGAACTTCTCATCAAATCTGGAGGCAGCAGGCTTCATTATACAACCAAAATTGAAGCCAATATAGTCATGACCTGAGTTTGCATGTAAGGATATTAGAAGCTAAAGAAAATTTATCTTACTTAGGGAGAAATAACTGGAATGATTTTGGTTCTGTTGCCTTAATCCAAATTCTCACAAAAATTTGCCCTTTTCTCAAATTGAAAATTTATTTCAGAGTACTTTTTAATTGATAACCAACAAATCTGGATCCTACCATTTATCCACTTGACCGCAAACAAACTGTTCCCATTTGGCACAACTAAGATTTTGGCAATGCTCGTATGCTTACATAGCAGCTGTCATTTCTCTATACAATAGGCTGATAATCCTGCTCAGAACACACTTGGAAAAATTAACCTCATATGATACATCCTTTAACACTTACCTGAATCAGCTTTTGTCTCTCTTCTAGAAAGGAGAGATATTTAGGGGTTACTTTCAGGTGCCTGATCAAACTCTCCTGCAAAGTACTGATGCAGTTTGGAAGAAAGCCGCCCGTTTCCATGGAAAATTGAAGGACATCTGCTACCTGTGGTTTTTAAAAAAGACAAACAGAACAGTGGAATATATACAGAGAGCTATCTCATGGCAGAAATAGCAGAAATATATTTAGAGAAATGTCTTTAAATACCATTTTCTCCAGGAAATTTAAAGTTGTCCAGTCAATTTATTCTATCAACTTTAAGTAATTGTACTTGTTATATCTTCTTCCCCCCCCAGTCAATTTATTCTAAAAGTTTTTTTAGAAAAAGGAAAAAGATCACCTAACTTTAATGTGCCCTTGTTAACTTTCTTTTCTACTTATTTTATTTGCCTACTTTAGGATTATTTACTACTCTTTGGTGCCTTTGGGAAATGGGGAAAGGAAGATAAAATTTAAAAATTAATTTCTTTCTTTCTGTCTGTCTCTTTATCTGTCTTTCTTTTTTTCATTCATTCTTAGCACCCAGTTTTGAGTGAGGACATGTAATATTTTTCTTTCTGTGTCTGGCTTATTTCAGTTAACGTAATTTTCTCCAGGCTCATCCATGCTGCTGCAAATGGCAGAATTTCATTCTTTTTATAGTGAAAGAAAGAAAAAGAAAGAAAGAACGAACCATAATAATACGCTGAACTTTCAGAAGGAGAGAACTAACCTAAGGATACTAGAGATGGTGGGGGGAGGTTGAGGAGCAATTGGTTGGTAAGGAACATAAAGAATAATTACATTTGTAGTAATGAATATGCTAATAAAAATTATCTTTAGGGCCAGCCCTGTGGCACACTGGAGAGTGCGCCGCTTGGGAGCGCAGCGGCGCTCCCGCCATGGGTTCGGATCCCATGTGGGGACCGGTTCCCGCTCACTGGCTGAGCGCGGTGCGGGCGCAACACCGAGGGTTGCGATCCCGTTGCCAGTCCCCGGTATGGGCGTGACACCGAGGGTTGCGATCCCGATACCGGTCAGTAAAAAAGACAGAAAAAGGAAAAAAAAAAAAATTATCTTTATTACCTATTAGCAACTCTGATAAAGTTTTTTGGTAAGGAAAGCAAATAAAATTAAGAATTGCAATAATTATTTATCTAATGTGTGGTAGGCTGAATAATGGCCCTTCCAAAATGTCCACATCCTAACCCCTGGAACTTGTGAATGTTACCTTATATGCCAAAAGGGACTTTGTAGCTGTGATTAAGTTAAATATCTTTTTTTTTTTTTTGGTGGGGGGGAGGCTGGCTGGTGTGGGGATCCAAACCAGAAACTTTAGCGTTACAATGCTGAGCTCTCAGTAAGAAGGTGATGGAGTTTAGATGTGTCGTCCCCTCCAAAACTCATGTGGAAATTTGACCCCCAATGTGGCAGTGTTGGAAACTGATTGAGTCATGGGGGCAGATCCCTCATGAATGGATTAATGCTCTCCCTGGGGGAGAGGGGATTAATGAGTGAGTTCTTGCTCTATTAGCTCCCACGAGAGCTCGTTGCTTAAAAAGACTCTGGCACCTTCTCTCTCTCTCTTGCTTCCTCTAGCCATGTGATCTGCTTGTACCCACCAGCTGCCTGCTACTTTTCCACCATGAGTAGAAGCAGTCTGAGGCCCATGCCAGATGCAGCTGTCCCAGAATCATAAGCCAAATAAACCTCTCTTCTTTATAAATTACCCAGTCTCAGGTAATTCTGTTATAGCAACACAAAACAGACTAAAACAGAAGGCAATGAAGGTGCAGGCCATGAGCACCAGTGACAGCAGGGCCATGTTGGGTTGGTCCCAGGGCCTCCCCTGCCCAGACTGCCCTGCTGTGCTCCCACTGCCTGGCCCCAGCATGGCTCCTGCCCAAGCCCATGTTGCATTCTCCCCACCATCTGCCTTGGAGCTGTTGGAAACAGATCAGCTGTGGAGGGGGTGCACCTGGAAGATCTGGGGAGAGGAGGGCCACAAAGGACTCCATCACTTGGACTGAAGAGAGGATTCCCAGGGCTGAGCTGTATGCTGAGTGGGAAGGGTGGGCAGGTGAGAGGCTGGCCTGCCTTCAAGGAGCCTGATTCCTTGGATTAAGAGAATGGCTCCAGCTGGCCAGTTAGTTCATATGGTTAGAGCACAGTGTTGATAACACCAAAGTCCAGGGTTTGGATCCCATATTGGCCAACCTGCAAAAAAAAAAAAAAAGAGAGAGAGAGAGAGAGAGAGAGAGAGATAATGGTCCAGAGAACCAGCAGTGAGCACAGGGCAACATGGGAACATGGGATTGAGACAGGGCTGAGGTGGCTGGATTAAGTCAGGAAGACAGCAGGGAGTGTAGCAGCAGCCAGGCCCAAAGGGAGGCTCCAGGGGCCTGAAGAAGGAGGAGGGCATGAGCACAGAGGACCAAGAGGGGGCAGATCTCATGCCCATCACACACATGTATGATGCCCAGACGGTGACTATGTTTATCACCTCTGGGGCTTTTCCCTTTCTGTACTCTGCTCCTGGACTGTTTGACATCTTTTTAGCAAAAGCATCTTTTACCTTTGTTATTAAAGATATGTGAGTTTTTAAAAGAAAAAAAAAAGGCTGTGCTCTAACAAACTGAGCTAACTGGCAAGCCCCAAGTTAAGCATCTTGAGATGGGGAGATTATCCTAAACTATCCTGGTTGGCCCTAAATGTAATCATGACTGTTCTTTTAAGAGGAAGTAAGAAGGAGATTTTACTAAAGTCAGAGGAGAATGTGATGTGATGACAGAAGCAGAGATTAGAATTGTGCACTTTGAAGGAAAAGAAAGGGACCACAAATCAAAGAATATGAGTGAGCACTAGAAGCTGAAAAAGGCAAGGAAATGGTCTCTTCCCTCAGAGACTCCAAAAGAAACCAGACCTGCTGACAACTTGACTTTAGCCCAGTGAGTGATTTGAGACTTCTGTCCTCCAGAACTGTGAGAGAATAAATTTGTGTTGTTTTAGGCCACTAAATTTGTGGTGATTTCTTAGAGCAGCAATAGGAGACTAATATACTGTGTTAAAGGAAAAAAAATTGGTGAAATTCTGAATTCCTGCTTCTTGCATTGTGGAAATCTGAAATGAAAAACATGGAAAGACATGCCAAAGTCTTCACTACACAATACATATAAGGTCTAATCAAGAGGCCTACTGGCCTCAAGAGAACAATGAGTAATTCTCTTACACTTTGGAGTGAGCATAAAAGCAACCTCTATATAGTGAAAGATCCTGAAGAAAGACCCAAAGGAACATGTAAATAAGAGAATGGCACAAAGTTCATTATGAGCAGACATACAAAGAGACAAATTGAACCACATATAGTAACGTAAAATTGAATTTTTAGAAACTGCTGCTAAAAAATAATTGGCCAACTCACTAGTTTAATTCCCCTCCAAAGGCTCTAAGTTTGTGTATTTAAGATTTCTCTTTCACTGGCATAAACCTAGAAGACCAGATGAATCTAAAGAAAGCATAATGAAAACTAGCGGTTTTACTGTTCTCAAAGCCGAACAAGAAACCCAGACCAGCTCTAAGAGCTAGTATAGTCTAGGGATTTCTCCTTTCTCTAAGGTCCCTTAGATGAGAAACAAAATCACAAATCTTCAGGCTATTTGGGGCCAGAATAGGTTTTTGGGGGGCATATCCAGGACAATCTTCACCCCTGAGCTAGATGACAACTTGCTTTAATTAAAACTTATGTGGGCCAACCCTGTGGCTCACTTGGGAGAGTGCGGTGCTGGGAGCACCGAGGCCGCGGGTTCGGATCCTATATAGGAATGGCCGGTGCGCTCACTGGCTGAGCGTGGTGTGGATGACACCAAGCCAAGGGTTATGATCCCCTTACCGGTCACACACACACACACAAAAGAAACTTATGTGATAAAGGCAGAGATGTAATTGTTCATCTTACACTAACTCCATGTCAGACTTCTAAATGGACCCCTAACAGCTAGTTTCTGAATGCTGTGGAGTATGAATCTTGCTTCTTTAACAAATTCTGAAGTAAAATGAAAAAACAAAAAATACCCAAGAAACATACTCCTAAATAATTTTAAGTAAGTTTTCTGCAGTGCTTTTGTAGTTCACCAAATGTTCTCACATATCATACAAACATCTTACATGAGAAAAGGGCAGGAATGGAGCACCAAAAAAACCCAAAAAACTTTCAGTCACTCATCACACAAGGCCTATTTTCTACAGAAGCTATGTATAGTGGTTTAAATCCAGTGTTTCCCTTCATGTACCTGTGTGTCAAAGACATTATTCAGCAAAGTTCCATACTGATGAGAGAGGCAATCAGAAAGCCAACGACAATCGTGGATAACCTAAGGAATCAGGATGAAGACAGAGTAATTAGAACCTGGCTGCTAATCTTACTCGCAGAGGAATCAGTTTACACACTCACCTTCAAAATTTTCTTGTCCTCTAATATCATCTGAAGTCCATTGTTGAAAGCACGACTTCCCAGAAGGAAAATATCAAACAAGTAAACTCGGCTATTTGTGGCTACCTACAATAGACCATTCACACACCCCATCATAAGATAAGAAAGAACTGGGAAGGGGATCTGAGAATCAAGAATAAAAGACATGCAATAAAGTATTTAACATCTTCACTTTGAGGTAAACAATAGGCACTCAATGATTCTTAGGGACAACAGGTTTACGTTGCTTTTTTTTTTTGGTGGCTAGCCTGTACAGAGATCTGAACCCTGGACCTTCAAGTTGCTCTTAAGTAAAAAAAAGACATGATCACTATAATTTTCAAAAGGAAAGAAAAGGACAAGCTGGTGATTTAGTTTCATTTTTTACAGTTTCAACTTTAATGTTTTACCAGTCTCATTTACGGCATTCTGTGATATTGTGAAATATATATTTGGGCTTCCTCCAGGTTTCCTGATATACAGTTCCTAAAACCCTTGGGATCTCTGGAGTGATAAGAGTGTCTTCTGTATGCTAATGAGATGACTGGTGTCTGGGGGCCCCTAAATAGCTTCAAGATGGGGGACTGGTCACAGAAAAGACCAAGGCATGGTAAGAGGGTTGGGACTTTCAGTCCCACTCCCCCAACCTCTAGGGAGGGGAGAGGGGCTGAAAGTAAAGTTGATCATCAATGGCCCGTCACAAAGAAGACAGCTGTAACAAACTGAGTGTCCCTTCTGGTACCTAGAAAACTAAAAGGGACAAATTAGGAAATAACCTAGAGCTTCCCAGGACTGCATTTCCAAGAAGTCCATCCTTTTGGTAAAGAAAAGTTTGTTTTAAGTAATTTGCATTTGTGCTGCTAACTCAAACCTGGTCACCTAAAAGCTAAAGTTTACTAAGAAAATGCACAGAACATGAGATAAGGCAACCTAATCCCTGAGCAAAACTAGGCTCAGACACCTCCAATCCTTTCCCTTAGAGAAGGTGAACATTCCAGAAGTTGTTCAAGAGGATGCATTGCCAATCCTAATAAAAAATATTCTCTCATTGAGTGGAGGTAGGTCCTGACTCAAGGCATTAAGACACTGGTCGGGGATTCAGCCTGATCTCTTGATAATCCTTAAATACAAATGCTGCTAGGTTGGATCCAAAAGGGTTATCCATCCTGTAGCTATTCAAGGCCCACTAAAACTTCTTTTGATATCATGCTGACCCTCACCTACCATCTCCCAGGTCCAGGGAAAGCTACCATCCCACAAGGAGAGAGAGGAAAATCTTTATATATCTAAGGTGATAGAACAGAGATAGGAAAAAAAAGACCTCAAGCAAAGCCTGTAAGACAGCAGTGATGACAATAAAATTGAATCTATAAGGAGACAAAAGCTCTTTCCTTTTGAAAAGAATAGATTGACTACTAGAAGAATAAAAGATATTCCAAACAAATTACAGAACAATGAAACACAGGTGGTAGAAAGAAGATAATTAAAAATAAATCTACCAGTGAATCTATAATTATTTCAAAATAAAAGGTTTTAAAAAGTCTTTTACCTGAAGCCAACACAGTTTTCCATGACGACACACATTGGCTCCTTCTGCTGCCACACTCACGACACTCTGCTTCTTGATGTGGAGCATCTGATAAGAAAAGAAAGAAAAGCAAAAAGCTCCAGGTAATAAATGTTGGCATTATAACTTCATGGATGGCACGAGTAAAATGGTCAGCGATAAACAAAGTGGATCATATTTTTTAAACTTACAAAATCTTTTTTTTTTTTTTCCTTTTTGTCTTTTTTCGTGACCGGCAACGGATCGCAACCCTCAGTGTCACGCCCGTACCGGACCGGGACCAGCAATGGGATCGCAACCCTCGGTGTTGCGTCCACACCTCGCTCAGCCAGTGAGCGGCCGGTCTGTATGTGGGATCCGAACCCTCGGCGGGAGCGCCGCCACACTCCCAAGCAGTGCCGCCACACTCCCAAGCAGTGCACTGTAGCAGTGCGCCACCGGGCCGGCCCTAAACTTACAAAATCTGACTAATCCAAAAGACAAAGCCTGCTTCACATACATGCAGAAATCACGACTGAACACTTCTGATCCTCTTTACAGTTTCAGCAAAAGTATTCCACAACTGGAAAATAAATCATTCACACCCCAAATGCTAACGAGAGTTGAAAACTCAGACACTTTCTGTTACCATTGATGCTGGTTTTTTGGGGGGTGGGGTGGTTGTTTTTTTGCAGCTGGCCGGTACAGGGATCCAAACCCTTGACCTTGGTGTTACAACACTGCATTCTAACCAACTGGTGAGCCAAGAATTCTAGTCTTTACAATGACGCAAACTATGGTGTCCAAAAAGAGGGCAATTTACTGTATCTGAAAGGAGCACAAATAGTAGCTAAGTCTCACAGTACCTACTGTTCAAAATGACAGAAACAAGAACTCAACAGGTCACTTAAAGCCTTGGCTTCACTGAATTACTCAAAATTGGAATAGTGGTATCCCAGGAACACACTCTAGTCTTTGATTATCTGTAATCTTATCCTATTTCAAAACATTACACAATTCTAAAATCCTTAATCCATAATTCATGAAAATATCTACACAATACAATATTCTCCCCATTTTACAGGTAGGTAAATTACTGGAGAATAGAAGATCATAGTAACTTACACTAGTACAATATCTTCCTTTAGAGAGCATAAAGTGTTCTACATTCCAAGTAATTCTCATCGGTGAGATGACAGAATTTTAGTTTCATCCTCAATCAACAGGAAGGCTGTAGAAGTATGAACAAAAGCTATATTTCCCTATTGAAATGAATTTCCAGGCTGACTGTTTAGCTCAGTTGGTTAGAGTGTGGTGCCGATAACACCAAGGTCAAGTGTTTGAATCCCTGTACGGGCCAGCTGCAAAAAAAAAGAAGAAAAAAGAAAAAAAGAAAAAGAATTCATAACTACTTCAAATTTCTAGAGCAAGTTTTTCCTTACCCCTTTTTTTTCATGTATTTTATTTTTTACTTATTTTTTATTTTACTTCTCAATATACATTGTAGTTGATTTTCATGCCCCTTTACCCGTTCCTCTTCACCCCCTCCGTCCCTGCCCCCCCCATCATATCTGTTCACTTGACTTAAATAGTTCAAGGAATTCTTGTGGTTATTCTGCCTTCTTCCCTCCCCACCCTTGATTTGTTTGTGTGTTTATTTATTTTTAGTTCCCACAAATAAATGACAACATGTGGTATTCCTCTTTCTGTGCCTGACCTGTTTCACTTAACATAATTTTCTCTAAGTCCATCCATTTTGTTGTGAATGGTAGTATTCCATTGTGTAGATACGACACAATTTCCTTATCCAGTCATGAGATGATGGACATTTGGGCTAGTTCCAACTCTTGGCTATTGTAAATAGAGCTACAGTAAACATTGTAGTACAGGTGTCCCTTTGGCATGATAATTTCCATTCCTCTGGGGGTATTCTCAACTATGGAATAGCTGGGTCATATGGTAGATCTATCTGTAATTGTTTGAGGAACCTCCGTACCATTTTCCATAAAGGCTGCACCATTCTGCAGTCCCACCAACAGTATATGAGAGTCCCTTTTTCTCTGCAACCTCTCCAGCACTTATCATTCTCAGTCTTTTGGATGTTAGCCATCCTAACTGGAATGAGATGGTATCTCAGAGTGGTCTTGATTTGCATTTCCTGGATGCTGAGTGAGGCTGAGTATTTTTTCATGTGTCTGTTGGCCATTAGTATATCTTCCTTTGAGAAATGCCTATTCAGCTCCTTTGCCCATTTTTTAATTGAGTTATTTGGTTTTTTGCTGTAAACTTGTTTGAGTTCCTTATATATTCTGTATATTAATCCTTTGTCAGATGTATATTTAGCAAATATTTTCTCCTACTCTGTTGGTTGTCTTTTTACTCTGTTGATTGTTTCTTTTGCTATGCAGAAGCTTTTTAGTTTAATATAATCCCATTTGTTTATTTTTCCTATAGTTGCCTGTGCTTTTGGGGTCCTATTCATGAAGTCTGTACTCACTCCTACTTCCTGGAGTGTTTCCCCTATGTTTTCTTTAAGGAGTTTTATTGTTTCAGGATGTACATTTAACTCTTTAATCCATTTTGAGTTGATTTTGGTATATGGTGAAAGGTACAGGTCTAGTTTTATTCTCCTACATATGAGTATCCGATTTTCCCAGCACCACTTGTTGAAAAGGTAGTCTCCTCCCCGGTATGTAGATTTGCTGCCTTTGTCAAAGATCAGATGGCTGTAGGAATATAGATTGATTTCTGGGTTCTCTATTCTACTCCATTGATCTGCGTGTCTATTTTTATGCCAGTACCATGCTGTTTTGCTTATTATAGCTTTGTAATATAGTCAGGTAGTGTTATGCCTCCAGCTTTATTATTATTATTATTATTTTGCCCAGGATTGCTTTGGCTATGCATGGTCTTTTGTTGTCCCATATAAATGTCTAGATAGTTTTTTCCATCTCAAGAGAAAAATGTCATTGGAATTTTGATGGGGATTGCATTGAATCTGTAGGTCGCTTTGGGTAATATGGACGTTTTCACACTGTTAATTCTTCCAATCCAAGAGCAAGGGATATCTTTCCATCTTCTTGTGTTCTCTTCAGTTTGAGAGTGGTTTGTAGTTTTCACAGAGATTTTTCACATCCTTGGTCAGCTTTATTCCTAAGTATTTTATTTTTTTGGTGGCTATTGTAAATGGGCTAGCTTTCTTGATTTCTTTTTCTGCATGTTCACTGTTGGAGTATAGAAATGCTGCTGATGTTTGTGTGTTGATTTTGTATCCTGCAACTTTGCTGAAATCATTTATCAACTCTAAGAGTTTTTTTGTAGAGTCTTTAGGATCATATCATCCACCAAAAGGGACAGTTTGACTTCATCTTTCCCAATCTGGATGCCCTTTATTTCCTTCTCTTCTCTGATTGCTCTGGCTAGTACTTCCAACACTATGTTGGTGAGAATGGGCATCCTTGTCTAGTTCC